TTAAAGTCAAAACAAGACCTTTCCTGGGTGAGGATGCATGGCTGTGAGTAGAATGCTAATGCCCATGTTCCATCCCTGTTATTTCTTGCTTCCACCTGGTGGCAAGAAGCTGGGAAAGCAGGCATGCTGAAAAAGCCTGCAGGGCCAGGATCTGCGGGCCAGCCACTTGGAGTACTGCTGGTGAGATCCCCACAGGGCTTTTCCATGGCTTTTCTGCCTTCTGATTTCCACTAAGTTCTTCCCGCGCAAAATTTGCAGTGTGCAGCATTTTTCCCTGGGACTGAAAGAACGAGGATTATCCCGGATGCCTCCCTGCAGCTGAGCTCATGTCACCAATCAGGCATGATTTTCAGCAGATATTTCTTTAAAAGTTGGAAGGCCTCAGTGGATCCTGCACCCTCCTCTATGGGAACAAGCATCAAAGAGCAGGAATAAAATGCTTTGCACGCACATTGGGAACTAATTGCCAATTTGGCAAACGCATTGACTAATGTCATGCCCTGTTATTTCTAAATCCTCTCCTGTCCTTGACCCCCAGTATCTAGATGTAAACTTGGAACCATTAGTGGGGAAGGATAAAGTCTTCTGGTGCCTCGAATGGAATTGAGAGGGATTTAAACTCAGCGCTTTTGAGTGTGGTGAAATGAACTCAGCAGTACATTAATGCTAGGATTTGAGCACACAGCGTGAGCGCTTTCAAAAAACCGTGTTTAAGGAAGCAAACAGAGCCACGACAGGCCCTTTCAGGGGAGCCAGAGGAGTCAGATGAAACAATCAATGACACATTACAAACCACAACTGGGCTGTGATCGTGGGGGCAGAAGAAAAGTCTGTCTTTATCACAGGAGCTTGGAGTCTAATGAGCCAGGGACGGGGCGGCCTTCCGAGGGGTGAGGCCGCTCTGCGTTTTAGCCGGGAAATGTCTAAATATTTAGCTGATGCCCTTCAAAGCTCTGCACAGTTCTGTAGCGAACTGGTCTCCAAGGCCCCATCTGATTGCCACTGGGGAAAATTTGTGCAAACAGTATTCATTGGAGAAGTCAAAAAGCATGCTGATGAAAACACCCACATTGACATATTTTTTTCCCTCTTGTAATGAAGTGTTGCTAATGTCTTTCAAATGCTGAATTCAAGAGCAACACCTTGCCAGTAAGCACCTTCTTGTCAATGACTGCAATGGGTGCTCTGCTTTGGGTCTTGCCTGTTTGCATCATGGGAAAATAAAGCATGCATGTGCTGTATTCCTGCCTGCCTACCTGGAGAATCCCACACCGCATGGCCAGTGGTGCTTGAGCCTCAAAAAGGGGAGTGATTACCTTGTGCATTTTCTTGGGTGTGGACAGGAGAGCCAAAAAGACTGAAGGAATTTTGGAAAAGTGTCAATAGGGACCTGTCATTAAAATTCACACCATGGGCTGGTCCTAGTCTTGGTACCTGTTAGCCTAAAAGGAACATTCCATGTGCTCTAAGCTTCGAGAGTCTTCTGGGCCACAAAGCCAGGACATCACAGGATATGGGAGCAGCTGGGACTCGAACCTTTGCAGGCTTCCTGATGGTGGATTTCCCTCTGACTTCCTGTGGTCTCTCTCGAGTATCACTAGCACTATTTCCCTTCCCCCCACAGAAATGGCCAGGGCAGCCCCAGTTCCCCGCCAGTTTGATAAATGTGTCTTGGCTAATTGTGTGAAAGATGGCAGCCCTTTAGCAAGTGTGACCAGTTTATTGTTGAACCAATCAGGGGCGCCTTGGTTCGCGTGTGAAAAGGGGGTGTGTTGCCAGGGAGGGTGAGTGTTTTGGCGGCTGAGTCAAAGGAGGAGCGTTTTGGGGGGTCACAGAGCAACACCCACTTCTTTGAGGGGATGTTACTATGCTCTACTAAACCTGTAAACCTCTAACTCAAAGCACTTTCTCTCTCCTCCCTCTTTTTTCAAGATCTTTTTTTTTCCCATGGTGCGAACAGGCAAGAAGACACTGGCTACTCTGCAGATGGAGTTCACGTTCCAGGGTTTTTAATATTTCACTTTTATATTTCTGTTAGAGAATGATCCTGCTGAGAGTCTGGGAATCTGTGCTCGTCAGAACCCCCTCACTGACACTTGGATATATTGCTCTGAAAGTTATCCCAGGAGAAAAGATTAAACAAAAAAAAAAAAAGCTTACTTTTCAAAGCCTACTTCTCAATCTGCCCACATCAAAATAAGACAACTGGCCCTTTGAAGTGGAGGACACAGAGTTCTCAGCTGGCTGGTTTAGAATGGGGAGTGGGGAAGAAGAAAAGAGAGCAAGGGAGAAAAGAAGGGGGCAGTGGAGAGGGAAGGAAGGACAGAAGGAAGCTAGGCAGGATGGAAGGAAGGGGGAGCCTCTAAAGTTATACCTCAGTCACCTTACCCAGATTGCATCAGGCACCTGCATCTGAGTTGAGGGCTAGAAAACCTGCTTCTCAGAGCTCCCAAGGAAATAAGTAACTCATCAGAAAAACTTGTGCAGCTAGATTAGCATCAGGTGATTTAAAAAACCCTGTATCAACAGATGCGATACTGTTCTCCTGGATCGAGTCCCAACAATGCTAGAGATGACGGAGGGGATGAATCTCTGAATTTCTAAGTCCTAAAGGTTCCCTCAAAATTGTATCAGCCGAATTCCAAGTTTGACGGGCGGAGGACTCCACTACTTAGTCCGGAAAAGCTAGGCAAAGAAAGCTTGTCCAGAATGGTGTTAACACAAGTGGCACCTGTGACCTTTGCTCTGACTCCCATCTCCTCTCTGGTTCTCCTTAATTATTGAAATCTAAATGTATGGCAGCATCAGCCACAGCACAGGGATGGGAGTGGATGGGGCAGCATCCGCACAAAGAATCATGATTGACACAGGGGATGCTCTTGGAACACAGATATTACTGGCCCTTTTGAACCACAGACTTATGAGTGACTTACCAATGGTGCTGACCCTGTGGCCAAAGCATGCTGGACTTCTAAGATTCATAATTATGGTTAGATTTTTTTTTGGTGGTGGCTCAGGTTACAACTCCCTTTCTTTTATGAACTCAACCTGGCTCATACCACAAGCTTCCTGAGTCCCACAGAAGCAGGGGTTACAACTGAGCACCTCAGAAACAGAAAAACTGGTTTATAAGTATGGATGAATGAATCCCAAACCCTAGTTTGTGAGATACCAGAATTCCTCCACATCCATCCCTGTAGTCCCAGTGTCATTGCATAGCATCTAGCAGAGAGTTAGTGCTCCAAAATGTCAACTTACATGAGTTGAGTAAATCTTTACTATAAAAATAATACAGAATTTTTAAATAAATGGAAATGTGCACATTACATGGAAATAAGAGTAAAATGAAAAACAGAATCTATTTATTTTATTGGAATCCAATTCTATCCAGGTTTCTACCACTATTTTTCTCACCAGAACATTCTGTATTAAGAATCATTTATTGCCTGGACCAACCTGGAACCCAAATATTTGAAACTTGGAAAACAGCATATGCTCCCAATGATAGCTTTGCTTTGACACTATCCACATGGCTTTTTCCAGCCCAATCTGTCACCCTAACCTTCTGCCTGCATTCCTGTTAGGAAGCCCATGGATGAAAAGCTTGCCATTTCACCCAGATGGAGAGTGGAGTAGATGGGAAGAAGTACTGGCAGGCAGGAACCAGGTTGTTCTACAAACCAGGGTATTTGGAGACAGGAGCTATTGTAGGCTGGACCACAGTTTCTACCAGAACATGACTTTTGTTTTAGCTCAGAGCAAATAAAAAATGTGTAATTCAAGTCTTTTGAAATGAGGAATTTTTTTTTCTGACTTTTAAATTCAAGCAAAATAGCTAGGGATGGTAAACCATTCGTAACTGACCCCACTGTTAAAGGCCATTGAACAGTGGGTACAACCATTTGCAAAGAGGCTCAAAGAACTTTACAGTTAGTTGCTAGATCTCAGAAGAGTTTTCCTTAACTTCGACTAGTTCAAGATACAGGATCCCAATGTATGGCTGCTTTAGCAAAAATGTTAGAGGCAGGAGAAAAGAAGAAAAATGTTTCAGCTCCCTATGTCTTTTATTTTCTTCTTCAATCAATGCTTTCATCTTTAAATTTCTTGCTCACTTGGAAACTTGCTAGGAAACCCTCATACCAAAGTTAGTAAAGACAACAGTTTTGGAGGATTCTATTTGAAGTGTTGTGACAATACAATCATTTACAGACTAGTAAATATGGCTTGGGGCTCATGCATCCTAATCTGGTTCTTATCAGGACCCTTCTATCTCTCCTTTTATCCTGCCAACTGAGAGTCCAGCTTGGGCATGGCCTTCACTTACTGCTCCAGCTTCTGATATGGTCTTTCACCCTGTGGCTTATTTGATTGTCTTCTTCCTTCTGCCTCACTATCGTCAATGTGACCACTGGGGAATCTGACTCTTGGGACAAATTCTCAAAGACTTCCCCATGAGTAGCACTTCCAAAACTTACAAATCTGCTTCCCACGATTGGTCTCAGAGAATCTAATGTGTGGCAGACCAAGTCTAGAGGAAACTGATGAACTCTTGGAAAGAAAATTCTAGAGACATCAACCCTGGCTTGTCCTAGGGAATGGGGAGCTCTACCCACCCTCTATTGCACTAGGTTTTCTTTCATACTTTATGAGGCTCAATAATCTAGAAAATAAACCCAGTGATAATTTTGGGGCTCAAAAGTGAGATCATCTTGTGAGTTGTTCTTTGGAGCCAATGGGTATTTGGAAATGGATGTGGATTTCACAGTAGAGTCATTGCAGATTCATTTTTAGCTTGTTACTTGTGTTTCACAGAACTGGGGAACCAATCTAACCTCAACTACTACTTCAGAATGCTTCACATAAAAGGGAATGTCAGAATCTGGAAACCCAGTTGGATCTCGCTTTGCTATTGGGTCCTCATTGCAAGAACCATCTGTGTGGTCAATGCCCTCTTTCCATTGCTAATTCTTGGAGCATGCAGAAGCTTGCATTAGTATTACCTGGGTTGTAGTTAGGTAGCTTGGAGACTCCAGGCCAGGTATCTTCTGTAGGGACTCCCAACACCTATCAAAAACCAAAGAAAGACAAAGACAAGTGAGGGGCAGATATGGTGACATATAGGAAAGGTAAGGGAGGGAGTGAGAAGGAAACAGGTATGTGTCCCATGACATCAGCTCATGTAAATGAGGAGAAAGCTTTACCATTTCCAACATTTGTAGTTGGTTGGCAAACCTCCAGTGTATGCCTCTACCTGTGTCTCCACTAATGTACTTGTAATCCTGAGAAAGACTGAACATCTCTGCCTAAAGTAATTTCCCTAAATCTTGTGCAGTCACCATGCATTAGGATATCATGTTGGGAATTAGGGATCTGAGGAAGCAGGAATGACTGTCCCTTTGCCTGACATAAGACGACCAGATCTGTATTGACAGAAGACACTTGACAGCTTAAATTATGCCTCAGCATGGGCACTCAGCTGTTCCCTGATGTGCTCACATTAAAAGGGATTCAGATTACTGACCTTTAGGCAGTGGAATGTCAGCTAAAAATGACCCTAAAGCTAACTTGAGTCCTTCCCACCAAATTCACCTCTTCTGCTTGTTCTCCCTGTGGGCAGCAACTTGGAATATGGTATTGGTTTTTCACTAGTGTATTATCATGTTCACATCACTTGAAAAAGAGTTGGCCTACATTCTGGTTTACCAAACTGAAGCTCTAGTTTTTAATTAAGATGTTGTGTGAACCATCGCTTAGAATAGAAAGCCAGGCAGCTCAGATTCTAGATGGAGTTGCCACCATGCATTTCCCTGTAGGCATCATCTTACCATTCTTTAAGACAATTATAAGAGCTCATGGACACTGCTATCTGGGAGCCACCTCATTTGAGGGAATACCAGTAAAACACCAGTAGTTTTCATTACACCTCTATAACAAAGCTCTTCTTTGAAACATTATCTCCATATAACTCTTTGGAGACATGTCTCAGAAAGTGCACTGGATCCGCACATAGAACACAGACTGTGGAGGCTGGCCCAGTTTCTAAGGCAGAAAGTCAATGGCCTGACAGGGCCTGCGAATACAATCAATAAGGAATCCAGGATGGGAATGTAGCAGCCTGCCTCTGACTGAGAGGCATAATAATTTTCGGTTCCTGTTGAGCTTCTCCTTAAATGAAAGACATTGAAGTACTATCTTATATAATAAAAACCATGACACCCAGTAAAACCTTGCTTCTTTGATCCCCTCTCTAAACAAACTGAAAAGGCAGTGTGTGGTTTAGATGCTTGGGAAAGGAAGGTTATTTCTGTTTTTGAATGGGAACAGCTGATGTGTTTGTACAGATGCACATGTCAACAAGGAGGTGTGACTCATGTGTACCTGTATAAAAGAAAAGAGGAAACAACATAGGAAAGCAATAACCACATCTTTGTTTTCTCTAAGGTGAAGGCTCTAGGAATTGTTGGCTACTTTGCAATGTGTTTTATTAATGTCGACACAATGGGTTCCAGAATTATTTACTTACAACATCATATGCTAAAAGCATAAGAGAATTTTAAAAGTTCAAATGAAATTCAAAATACCTTATTTGGAAATTCGAGTTGCAGTTTCGATTTGAAAGTTACTGAATTATTCTTCACTTGAGAAAAGGACTAAATCTCCTGTTCACTGTCTGGGAAACTGGAAACCAAAAATCATTGATTTATTCCCTCCCTGAAGGCTTTTAAAAAGCAGCCGGTGAGTGCTGTGTTTGCAACCACAGCAGGTTAGAGGGGCTGTTTATTTGCCTTTATTAGAATGGAAACTAAAGGCATTTTGATTAATGGATTTAAAGTTTGCATAGCTTATCGTGATTTGGGAACTGAATCCAGGAATAATTACCAAAAAAACACAATTGGTTATTGAAAGAATTAGATTGAACAGGTATTTATTTGCTTTGATGTTACATGGAAGACATAGAAACAGAAAGAGGAGTTCCATTGGCTGGCTCACTTTCCTAAATGCCCACACCAGTTAGGGCTCTCCTAGGAATTCCATACTGGTCTCCCACAGTGATAGAAGGGACCCAAGTAGAGGAGGTCTGAAAATGGTAAGATGTTGGCGCGCATGCACACGTGTACACACACACACACACACACACACACACACACACAGAGGCATTTGAGAGGAGGGTGAAGAAAAAAGATTCATGGCTCCTAATTACAAGTTGATTCCTGAACATGGGATCTCAGGATAAATGTTGAGGACACTGGACTAAGAGGCTGGGAGATTCGGAATGGATTTAATGCTTTCTAAGAAGCAACTCCTCCATAAAAACCCCTTGAGTCTGCAATAACTTTCCATTTTCATCTGTGATGACTGCATTTAGTAAAACACAAACTTGGAAGCTATTTGAGAGTTACTCGTTTACTCTTCCAACTTGACTCACAGGCAACAAAAGCAAAAATGGACCAATGGGATCAATAAAAATCTGTACAAGAGAAATAACAGAACAAAGAGACAAGCTCTAGGCCAGGAGAGAATATTTGCCAACCATACATCTAGAAATACAGGGAACTCAATGCAACAGCAAGAAAACAATTAACTCCATTTTTAAAAGAGCAAAGTAGCATGATGGACCCCTAAATTCAGGAAATGCTCCTCACTAATCATCAGAGAAATGCAGAATAGGACCACCATGAAATCACGTCACTGGCAGCTGCTGCTGGGCTTTAACAGAGATGAGGATGACAGGAATCCCATTGTGTTACTGATGCAAATGGAAATGAGTGCAGTCTCAGGGTGGGTGTGTGGTGCCATAGCACAGACACTCTTCGTGATGGCTGCATTCCATGTCAGATAGGTTGGTTCCTGAGCATTTAATCCAACTCCTTTCTAATGCTCACCTTGAAAAGCGTATTTGGGTCCCTGCCATCCAGGTGGGAGAATCTGATGAAGTTTGGAGCTCCTGGATTCAACCTGGCCCAGCCTGACTGTTGTGGGAACTGAAAGAGTGATTCAGAAGATAGAAGATTTCTCTCTCCTCCCTCTCTTTCTCTCTTCATTTCAAATAAAAAAAAATACATTCGTATGATTTTGCACTTTCCACATACCAGGCATGGGGTGCTAGGAAATAAATTAAGTATGTTGAAGAGATATCTACACTCCCATGTTTGCTGCAGCATTATTCACAATCATCAAGCAATGGAATTGACCTAAATGTCCATCAAAGATCTTGAATGGATAAAGCAAATGTGGTGCACATAGAAGGAAATCTGTTTTTTGTGAGGACGTGGATGAACCTGGAAGACACTATCAAGTGAAATAAGGCAAGTGACAGGAAGACAAATACTTTGTGACCTCACTTGTATTTGGAAGCTAACGAGACTGGATCCCAGGTATAGAGAACAGAATGGCGGTGACTAGAGGCTGGTATTTTGGGAGATGCTAATTGGAGGAAATGGAGGAGTAAGTTAAAACACCTGTTGTTCAACATGGTGACTGTAGCTAATGACAAGAGATTGTATTCTTGGAGATGACTAATACAGTTGATTTGAATTGTTACCATAGAAAACTGTCAAGTATGTAATGTGATGCCTATGCTAATTTCTTTGATTTGGCCACTGCACAGTGCATATTCATTTCAGAGCATCATGTTGCATTTAATACATATAGCTTTTATTTGTCCATCACAAAGAAAAAAAAATCAGCCTGGATCCAAAGCTTAACTGTTAGGCAGATGCAAAACTCAGCAACGTGGATAGAGCTTCTAGACATCTGATGCTATTAAATACGTCAGTAAATGTGACAGATGAGGTCATTAACTATGGTTAAATATATTAGTGATGCCATTCCTCCCACAATGCTTTTCTCCTCTGTTGCATTTCTATCATAACCTTGTGTGAGCTTGGGTTTGGTAAAACTACTCAGGGATGTTATTGCCACATTGGGAAAAGCAAACGACATGAGTCTGAAGTTATAGAGTCCCTCCTTGACAGTTCTCTTCTCACAGGCACTCAAAAGATTTTGTCCTGGTTGGAGTTTTGGTAAGGTGTGCCAGTGACAACCATGCTGTACTTCTACAGGTAAACAAAACACAAGTACTGTTATTGTTTAGCACTTGCCATTCACCAGGCTGTGGACTAGAAAAGAATTATTCTGACATGCTTGAGATGCAGTGGGGTCGGGTATGCTTATCTCACCTTGTCTTCAGATTGTGGCATTACAGACAGAAAACAAAACAGGGGTCTCTACCAGCTTGAATGGAATCATGCAAAAATGAGATGTAATAAAGCCAACCTCCTGATGTCTGTAAACACAGAGTCGGCTGCAGCTGGTTCTGTGGCTCAGAGAGCTACTCATCATTTACCATACACACATCCCATATCAGAGTAGTGGTTCCCATCCAGCTTCCTGTTAGTGAAACTGGGACGGCAGTAGATGACATAGTCTGGATACTTGGGCTTCTGCTACCTACATGGCAGACCTGAATGGAATCTCTGGCTGTTGGTTTTGACCTGGCCCAGTCCTGGCTGTTGTGGCCATTTTGGGATTGAGTGAGCAGATGGAAAATGCCTCTCTTTTACTTGGTCTTCTCAGTTAAATAGCTAAGTAATATAGAAGTAGTTCTTTGCGGTACTTTAAAGTAAAAAATGAGCTATATGAGTTTTGTCAACTTGAAAAATAATTTTAGGGGAAAAGTAATGAACAGCATAGAATATGACAGATCTCCCAAAAGTTCCTGGTAAATGTGTGATAAGGGAGAACTACATGGATTTAAAAATATTTTACCCTCACTCTGGCACTCCAACCCTCAGCCTCCCCATGGACAGACTCCGAGGAAAGGTGGCCCTTGAGCATGGTCCCTGTGTGTCTGTATTCCTCACCCTCTGTTCACTGTTTGGGCAGGACAATAAAGATAGCAATGTTAAGAAAAAAATATATATTTTACCCTCGAATAAAATTCTCTTTTAATTCCACCTTTCATAAGCTTTTGGAAATGCCCTTTCATCATGATGGAAAATGACAGCAGCTACAATATTTCCTTACATTTTACTCAAAGAAATCACAATGTCCTGTTGGTGAGGTGGGTTACGAGGCTTGCTCTACCTCAGAGCTGCGTTCAGAACTCATAAATCCAGCCTTCAGGCCTGTGCTACTTCCTACATGTTTACATATTTCACATTTGTAATGTGCTTTCATGAACAACAAAATTAAGTTCCTTTGATTTACTGCAGCGTGATGAAGATAACAATCAAGGGGAACGTAGGGGCAGGGAAGGACTTGTCAGACATGTATGTTTTTGTTTGTTGGCCCTTTAGGTCCAGATTCAAGCTCAATCCTTTCACTTAACTGAATTCTTTATGTTATCTTTGAGGTCAGTGTCAGTTATCAAGACCAATTCTGGAAACTCTTAAACTAAGAACAGGAAAGGCATCAGATCACTCAGCCTGTGCTTTCAGTCCTGTGATTTCTACAGCTGTGCTAAATGCAGAGCGCTGTAATATGACTGCTTTTCTAAGCCCACAGCATTCAAAAAATAAGTTCACGTACAACTCTTCACACACAGATACATTCTTTTCAAATATGCTACCTTCTGAATAGCCTAGGCACAATTTTTTTTTAAGATTTACTTATTTTTACTGCAAAGTCAGATATACAGAGAAGAAGAGAGACAGAGATGAAGATCTTCCATCTACTGATTCACTCCCTAAGTGACCCCAACAGCCAGAGCTGAACCAATCCAAAGCCAGGAGCCAGGAGATTCTTCTGGGTCTCCCACATGGGTGTAGGGTCCCAAGGCTTTGGGCCATCCTCAACTGCTTCCCCAGGACACAAACAGGGAAGTGGATGGGAAGCGGGATCGGCAGAAATAGAACTGGCATCCATATGGGATCCTGGTATGTGCAAGATGAGGACTTCAGCCGTTAAGCTACTGTGCTAGGCCTGCCTCAGGCACATCTTCAACATTATGATTTATATTAACCATCTATACATGCATCCTTTTACATAGTGAGTGGATTGCATTTGTTTCACATGCATTTTCTCATGCTTTAGCCATCTTGTTTTTATACTGAACACTTGAAAGTACAGATCATAATTTTTCTTTTTCTTGCTTTTCTCTGTGCCTTGTGGTCACTCATAAGAACATGTAAGGTACTTGTAAATGTTGAATGCCTTGTTGAATATTGTTCCCTGATTAAATCGCTTAAGAAAAATTCTTCCCTTGAGTCAAAGGCCATTGGAGGGTGACTCTAGACAGTGTTAATTGTGCTTGCTGTATTGTGAGGAAGAAATAACGCTGCCACATGCAGAACAGAACAACTGAGTGTTTAATATCAGATAATACTTGTGAGCATTTAGGTTCCTGAGTCACCCCTGCACCAATTTACATGAGAGAGGAACAAAGCCAACATTCATGAAGCACTTACGGAATGTGCAGCTGGTGATGCATTTGTTCTCACAGCAAGCTCAGAAGGCCAGGACCACCAATCCCATTTTACAGAAGGGAAAATTGAAGCCCAAGGAGACCACATCACTTGAGCAATTTAATGAGAAAGTGGCTTGTCCGCTTGTCTATAAAATCTTAACATTAGGATAACAGGTGGTGTCATGGCATCTGTCCATATGATATGAGAACATTTCTCTATCTTGCAGGGATTCTAAGAAAAAGCCTTGAAATTTGAAAGGCATCTTTTGAGTTGGTGATTGTTTCCCAGTGTGGCCCATGTTCCCTCATTGTACCCCCATGTTTCCAAAAGGAAACGCAACATCAGTGATTGGTTTTTCTAAAATATCTTGCTTGCACACAATGCATTTCATTTGAGGCAGAGGACAAGGATCACGATCCAAGGTAGGAAGAGATTATCCTTGCACACTTTAAGCACCTTGACACATCCTTCAGCCTGTGTGATGCTGTGTGAGGCAAGTCAGATACAGAAAGACCAGTGTGGTATAATTCTTACATGGAGGCACAAGCAACAGGCAAGTTCACAGCAATGGGAAGTGGTGGAGAGGTCTGTAGAGGGGGCTGGGCTAGAGGACAAGGGGAATTATGGCTTGCTGAGAGACAACAACTCTTTGGGAGGAGCTCAAGGTTTTGGAAATGCTGGCAGGGATGGGGGCACAACACTGTGAATCTTTTAATGCCAGTGCACTGTGTACTTAACAGTTATTAAAGTGCTAAAGTTTACATTATGTATGTTTTATCATAATACAAATCTCCAAGAAAAGGAAATATGTAGTGTGACTATAGTTTTACTTAAGGAACATAAAAGCAAAGCATGTCATAGTGCAGATGAAGTAGGGATAAACAGTAAAGAAAGGAGACCACACACACACACACACACACACACACACCATGACAGCTTCACAATTTGGTTGTAGATGAGCATGATAAACAGAATAGGTCTCTCATCCCTAAGGTGCTTATACCTGTGGCAAACATCAGTGTCCATCCACGAACACATATTGGATGTGGTTCAATATCCCAAAGCAGATGGACCACTGTACTCCACCCTGAGACAAATTTAATTCAACATTCAAAATGTAGATATTTCCTTTTCTGAAGAGACATTCTTCTCTTACCTCCCAGATCTTTTCCAGTTGTTCAAGGATGTTGGAAACCCCAGGGAACAGAGGTTCACCCTGGAACATTTCAATGAAGATGCATCCTGCACCCCTGCCACAGGAAACAAGAGTCAATGTAATGCTTTCAAGGAGATCAGGTATGCAAAACTTAGCCAGCAGCATTCCCCAGTCTGAGAAATATCTGAAGGATTGTTAAATAGGGGCCACATGCTACTAGAATCTTGGGTGAAAATAATTGAGTGGCTTGTACCTTTGGTTTAAATGGAACACAATATGAGGACTCTTGAGAAAGAAAAAGAAACAAATAGAATTAGAAATTTATTTTGGTGAAAGCAAAGAAATCCATGAAAACTTTCTGATGATACTCATTTTCTATGAGCTTTTTAAAGACCTCTTGTGTAGTTAGTATACATTTTACACCATTAAAGCTCATGAACTCTCTATTTTATAAGAGGGGAAGATACTGAATCCCTAAACTATATACCACTTCTCACTTAGTCAAAGATGCTATTACTACAAGAGGCATCATTATTTTGTGTATCATCAAGAAAATTTCTAAAAACCTGTAAATCATTCCATAAGTATGTCCTATGATTTTGTGTCAATTAAATTTTTTAATGTTTGGAATAGGCATATGGCGCGGTAAGATGTTACTTGAGATTTCTGTATCTATATCAGGATGCCCAAGTTCAAATCCTGACTTTGCTTCTGATTCAACCTTCTGTTCATGTACGCCCTGCAAGGTAGCATGTGATGGCTCATATTCTTGGGTTCCTGCCACCTACATGAGTGTCCAGATGGAGTTCTGGTTTCCTAGCCTTGACTGGGCCCAGCCCTGCTTGATGTGCGCATATGTGGAGTGAGCCAACATATGGAAGATCTTTCTCTCTTCCTCTGTATTTCTCTTAAAAAATAAAAGATTATCATCTCTAAACTTACACATACAAATCCAGCAAATAGAAATTGCCAGAGTATTTATTTTATATTTATTGAATACATTATAAATTTAACTAGAGGTCATTTTATCATGTATCATCATGGACGTACAAAATACAACATGGAACACTGAGGGAAATGAGCTAGTTGAGATAGTTCTGAAGCCTTTTCGTGTTCAGGATTTGACTCAGACTCATTGATATTGTGTTTACCCACAGTATCCTTCTCAATACTCAGAGTCTGGCAGTGCAGCATTTCTTAAAATCATCTGTAAAAGAACCCAGTCATCAGTGCTAGGCTCCTCAGCTGGCACTGCAGGAACGTAGCTGTACATGTCTGACTCACTCCTTCTCCCCCGCCATTTGGTTCCGAGTCACTGACACCATTCTGCAAGTTGTGGTGCTGCCGCCTTTGATGTTCACACTTGTGCTGCAGCAGCTCTGTTCACAACTTCAGCCTGACTGACTCCTGATGCATCAGACTTCACAGAAAGCATCCATTTGAAGCTGAATGTCACGGTGTGCCCTACGCATCTTCCTTCCTACATGGTCAGGCTGAAGGAGCTTTCTCAAGGGATGGATAGGAGTGGGATTTAGATTTGTAATAATGCACATTTTGAAAACTGTTGAAAATGTTTTGAGTATTAAAGATGGTTCAGGTGATCCCATGGTCCAATACTTTCCAAAAGATTTTTTTTTAATACCAAATGCCTTTCACCATAATACAGAATTCCACTAACTCTCTAACTCAGCTCACCACTCTTACATGACAGAAACAAGAAGAAAATCTAGGTAAGACATTTTGGTGTAGATGACCAAACTACTAAATATTTATTATCAGTTTCATTTGGAATATGATTTTCCACATTATTCATGTTTGTTTATGATACATGATGAATTTTTACTCTTTCAATCTGATTATAGATACATGCTATTTAATTGGCTTTTCATTGATTAAATAGGGGAAAGAAGACTTCCTGACAATTAAGTTTAAAAATAATTTGTATATCTTGTTTCTGGTTTGGAGACAGAATATACATCAAAAGAAGATTTAAATCTATATTTTATTGTGCTGAAATAGACAAAATTTATTTTCATGACCTACTGTTAGGTTTGAACATAATCAACTGGCTTATTCTTAGACTTGTGTCAACAAAGATACCAGACAGCTTTACAAGCCAATTTGGATACGATGGTTATATATATTTTTAAAATTATTAACTCTGCTGTACAAGAGACATCTTGATGTGATAAAAGAATTTTAGTGTTTATTTACTTTCATCTCCATGGATAGCAGAGCAGCAGAGAGAACGAGAAGAGGGTGACTATCTCCTACGAACTGGTTCACCTCCACTGAATGCAAGAGCCAGGGCTGGGTCCTGCCAAAGCCAGGGTCCTGGAATTCAGTCCAAGTCTTCCACCCAGGCAGCAGGGAACTAAGTATTTGTTTGACCCATGATCTGATGCCTCTTAGAATGAGTACCAGCAGAAGGAGGGACCAGAAGTGCTATGGGTATCATTCTATAAAGGTGCTCCCACTCAGGGTGTGCCATTTCAAGTGTGGCTCAACCTGCTGTGCCACAACACCTCTCCCAGGTATCAGAATTTTGTGCAGACAAACGTTAACTTACAAACTTGGCAAAGAGTCTCTTGGGATGAATTATTAGAATATTGACATTATTTACAATGATTGGCATTTTAATCAGCAACTTGTATGCAAACATCTGAGTTCCTTCTGATTCCTGTCTTTAAAGCAGCAACCATCCATGAAAGGTATAAATGAAACAATATGTGGAAAATAGAAGTTCAGAACCATTGTGGTTCCCTGCAGTAGTCAGGGAGAAACTGGGAGCCCTCTCTGTGGTGACAATACTCATGCTGTCTCCATGTACACTTGAAAAACCCTCAGATCCTCTCATTTTGCAGCGCGTGTGTTGCTGTTTTGTGCCTTGTTTATGAAGTAGAGCTGGAAGTATACTGGTTTTTAAAAACCTAAACCAAACTCTCCATCTAGTTCCCCAACCCCTTCCAGAAACCCCAGAGGCTTACAAACTACTAGAACCATTCAAACTGCTACTTTAAATGCTTCAAGGCATTCAAAGTCAACACCAAAGAGCCTGTGGGCCACTTGCCCTGCTCCCCAAGCTTTTGTAATCTAGAGAAGGTCTGCTGCCTTCTCACAGTGCCTTGTTGGCCGGGTGAGCCAAGAAGGAAAGCTTTCACTGTGCAGTTTCACAGTGTCTTCTGTCTTCTGTGCCACTAGAACACTGTACAAAATCATGTGAAATACATTGGTGAGCACTGCAATACTTAGGCCATCACACAGATACCGTAAAATATCACAAAATGTTTGTTCTTAAAGAGATGAAGTGTTATTTGGTTGAAATTCTCTATTTGCATTTTGGAGCAGGTTGAAATGTTCCTTATCTTACTGAGTCTGTGTATTTGAGGAGAGGGTGGTGTGCCTTCCAATCCCAAGACATACAAAATTCTCAAGCCAGCTGTATTTCAGAACTAGACTACCCATAAGTACCATAAATATCGGTGCACTGGTAACAAAACAAATCTGCACAATGTACATTTGAAAAATAAAAGAACATTTTCCTGATGTATGCACGGTGCTTTATAAGCTATCCAATTCATCTCCCTGTTTTTAAAGTTTGTTTTCAGGAACTGTCTTTCCTGTTGTTGTTGTTTCTTTAGAAGTCATGTGTCTACCATTTATTTTGCCCACCCCAGCTAGCAAACATTTTAAATATTCTTAACATCTACGTTCAGATAGGGAGCTAACTCCTATTTCCTTTTATTCTTGTCTTTTGTTCTTGAATCTTCATTCCTATGGCTCTCCTCACCCTTCATGTCTTCGGGCTTCTTGGTGGATTTCTGTTCGGTGGTGACACCCGGGGGCACCCCAGAGAGATGCAGAGGAACTTCACACACATGGGAAAAACACAGATGGCATCAAACACCGAATGCTTCCAGAAAGGAGGGATGTGCTGGGTCAATTTATTCTCTAACTGTGGTTCTTCAGTCAAGCTAGAGAAAACAGTTTACGTGTTTGCTGCTTGTTCTGGCTCTATTCCTAACTTTTTCTCTATTCTAAGTATGAATAAATCCTTCCGGAGGAGAGAAGATTCCTCAGATTCCTTAGGCAATCCCTGGTGGGGAGAAAATAAACTCCCAGTCTCAGGAGCTTGAGGCTTCTCAGAGGTGCAAAGAGCATAGAAAAATGTTGGGAAAACTGGAAGTGTCTCTTGTTTTTCACTGCTGAAATGACTTCAGAACAACATAATCTATGACAGGGCCAAAGCATTTCCATTTGCTCTTCCCTGGGTCATTTTTTCTATCTGGAAGTTTGCAGCAAGAAACCTGATGGTGAAGTATTTCAAAGACGGGGTTAGGTTTCTGTCAGTCCTAAATCTAGCAGCTGTCTGAAGTCCATGCTGAACAGAGGACCTTGTGTACCAAAATAAATCCATCTGAAGAATCCAGTGTTAAAACATGCATGAGCCCTTGAAAACATTATGCTAAGCAAAATAAGCCTGGCATGAAAGGATAAGCAAGGGATGATTCTACTTAGAGGACGTACCTAGAATAGTCAAGTTCAAAGAGATAGAAAGCAGAATGGTGGTTACTAGGAGCTGAGAAGAGGGTGCAATGAGTTCTGGTTTTGGTTTGGGACGGTGAAAAGTTCTGGAGGTGATGGAGGTGATGGTTAAACAACACCAGAAAAAGTTCTGTTGATCGCAAGATGCCCTACTTGTACCTTTTTCACGATGAACAAAAGCTCTGCTCTTTCCTCTGGGCCCCCTTCCCACACTTGCCACCATTAGGCCTCAAGATGAATCTTAAAGGGGTTCTTGCACTGTTATTTCTTTAAGACAAAGGCACTAAACACTCTCCTATTATCATTATCTCCTACGAAAACAGTGAGTCTGTACCCTGTGGGGTTGCAGGGACCAATAGCATAGAATTTTTTCCTTTTTCCTTCTTTGTCAATTAGAATGCTCCCTGTTTACTTCCCTTTTTCTCACTCTGAGAAGAAAAAGAAAAATGAGAGGCAGTGGACTTTTAATAAAAGCACTCGAGATCTAGCAATTAGTTTGAGAGTGAACCAAAAAAATACCATAAGTTTGATGGAAGATACCTACTGCTTTTTTTCCTCACTTTGTTTTTTTAGTTTTACTAGGCAAACAGCAGTAATCATGAAATGAATGACAGTAATGACAAGAATTAAAACCTATAGTCGAACTTTTATTGTGTGTCATCATTATGCAAAAAAATCATGAAATGGTAAGCAATGGGTTAATTTTTCATAAGTGCAACAAACATGCAAGTAATGCTAAGTTTAATAGAAACCTCAACTGACAGATAAGCTGAAGAAATTATCTAGAATACAGCATAGAAATTAAGGAAGTAGAAAGTGTGAACGAGAGAATAAGAGATGGATAAAATAAGAATGTGGTCTGATAGTCTTTAACTGGCATTCTGAAAATAGAGAATAAAGAGAAGAGAATAGAGGCAATGTGCAGGAAGAAAACTGCTGATGAAAGGTATGGATTCTTAAATGACAGAAGCACAGTGTTCCCTGAGCAGGATCAGTAAAAAGAAGCCTGCACCAGACCCCTGCTAGTGAAAACTGTGTAGTGACAGAGGCAAAGAAAAACCCATAGAAAATGTGAGGTCACCTACACGAGGAAGACAGTAAGGCCAACTCTCCAACAGCAAATTTGGAAGACAAAGAAGGGAAAATAGAGCTTCAGACTCTTGAGAGGAAAGAAAAGTTAATCTAGAACTGCATCCCCAGCAAAGATAATTTTTGCAATGAGTGTTTACCTTCAGAAAACACAAACAAGAGAGATCCCCAACCACCAGTTTTACACTGAAGAGAAAGGATCAAAGATGCACCTCAGGGAACAAGACAGTTATTCCGCAGATAAGATCTAACATGCATGAAGAAATAATGAAGAGTATTGAATTTATTTGTACTCAGGCCTGGTGCCTGAGGTCCTTGCCTTGCATGTGCCAGGATTCCATATGGGCGCCAGTTCATATCCCAGCTGATCCACTTCCCATCCAGCTCCCTGCTTGTGGCCTGGGAAAGCAGTATAGGATGGTCCAAAGCCTTGGGACCCTGCACCTGCATGGGAGACCAGGAAGAAGTTCCTGGCTAATTCTGATTTCAGAGAAGGAAGGATTGTTTTAAAACATTAAAGAAAAAAAAAAAGGCTAACCATAAAAGAAAAGATTGGTAAGTTCAATGATATTAAAGTTAAGGTTGATGAAAAAGATAACGTCAAGATGTGAAAACCTAAGGCCTGACACATAGTAAAAGATTAGTATGTAGAATGAAGAGCTGCTATAAGTCAATGAAGACAGAGATGGAGGGAAGAGGGGCAGGAGACATAGAGAAGTCAACAGAAAACAACAAAGATACAAGTATTTAAAAGAAGAGATATACAGTTGGGAAATAGTCTACAGAAAGATGCCCAACTTCATTAATGACTGGGGAAATGTATACTTAGGTACCATACTACACACCTGATCAGCAGAAATTAAGAAATCTGGTATGACTAAGGTGGTATAGAGGTAAAGAAAGAAAAACTCTTCTTTACACTGTAATACGGTGCTGGTGTAGACACTGCTACTGTTACTTTGGAAACCAGTTTGATGCTGTCTTATGAAGTTAACATTTATATACCTTGTGACATAGGAAATACATTCCAAGGCACTTTAGAGATGTTTAGAGAAAGAGATTTATTTGTTGATTTGAAAGGCAGAGTCAAAAAGAGAGGAAATATTCTATTCACCTGTTCACTTTCCAAAGGACCTCAGCAGGCATGTCTGGGCCAGGCTGAAGCCAGGAGCGAGGAACTCAATCCTGGTCTTCCTCAAGGGTGGCAGGGGCCCAGGTACTTGAGCCATTACCAGGAAGTTGCATTAGAGACAGAACAGCTCTGGCACTCCAATATAGATGAAAAGGTTGCAAGCAATAGCTTCTCACTGTGTCAAATGTGTATTCCCCCCGCCCTAGAAACTCCTTTATCTTTTTTTAAAATTGATACCTTTCTTAGTTAAGTTTTTTTAACTTTTTTTTTAAAATTTATTTTATTTGGAAGGCAGAGGAGAGACAGAGAGATCTTCTACCCTCGCGTTCACTCCCCCAGCGGCTGCAACAGCCAGGGCTGGGTCAGACCAAAGCCAGCAGCCAAGAGCTTCTTCTGAGTCATGTGAGTTGCAGCGGTACAGGCACTTGGACCAACTTCTGCTGTTTTCCCAAGTGTGTTAACAGGAGGGTGGATCAAAAAGTGGGGACAGCTGGGACTCAAACTGGTGCCCATGTGGGATGCCGGCCTCACAGGCAGCACTTAATCTGTTACACCACAGTCAGCCCCCAAAGAAAAAAAAATTTTTTTTAAAGATTAATTTATTTATTGGAAAGTCAGATATACAGAGAAAAGGAGAGAAAGAGGAAAATCTTCTGTCTGATGACTCACTCCCCAAGCGGCCACAACGGCTGGAGCTGCGCCGATCTGAAACCAGGAGACAGGAGCCTCCTCCAAGTCTCCCATGTGGACACAGGGTGTCAAGGCGTTGGGCCATCCTCTTCTGTTTTCCCTATCCACAAGCAGGGAGCTGGATGGGAAGCAAGGCTGCCAGGATTAGAACCTGGTGCCCATGTGGGATCCCGGCGCATGCAAGGCAAGGATTTTAGCCACTAGGCTACTGAGCCGGGCCCTCCCAGAGAAATTCTTAAGCATACATTTTGAATTTGTTCAAAATACCAGAAACAAACAGAAAAAAAACAAAAATCAAACTGGATAACTGAAATTTTCATCAAAAGGAGAGAAAGCATAGCTACACAGACCAGCAAAGATGAATTTTAGAAATCAATTTAGTGAAAAAACGTCACAGAAGACAACATACAGTTTAATATCACTTTTTGCAAAAGTCTGAAAACAGGCAAAACAGAATGATATTTTTTTACAATGAAAATAAAATGTAAAAATACTACTTTAATGGGCTAAGGTGATGATGACACCAAAATATCAAGAAGATCGAGAAGCCCCTGGCCATGGGGAAGGGACAGTTTGATAGAAAGGGGACCCAGGGATGCATGACAGTGCTCCTGGCTGCTGCTCTGGTGTGAGTTTATGGGATTCACTGTTTTGTGCTCCGTAATCTACATGAGCTTTCTCAACCCTGACATTAATGACGTTTGCGGCTAGATACATCCTCTTTGTGGGGAGCTGTGCTTTGCACTGTTGGAGATTCAGCAGATCCCTAGTCTGTACCCATTAATGTCCATGGTTGTGACCAGCACATACAAACAAAAACAACCACAGCCACACAACAACAACAAACTTTCCAGACCTTGCTAAACATCCCCTGGGAAGCAAAACTGCCCCAAGTTGAGAATCATTGATCTATTGAATATATATTTGAGGGCTTTAAATAATCCACAATGAAGCAAAGTTTAAAGTTAATGGGTAGAAGTTTCACTCTGTGGAAAACTGCCAGAAAGACATCATTAAGAGCCGAGGGAGCCAGAGCCTGCTGCAGGGCTTTGAACTGACAGTGCAAAGTGTGTGAGCTGACAGGAGCAGGAAAGCTCTGACTAGCAGGGGATACTTCTAGAAATGGTACTAGGTATCAGAAATCAATGATTCCAGATCCACTAGAGGAAAATATCTGCAACCTTTTTCACTCTTTGGGAAAACCTAAAGGTTTGCACTAACTCTGTAGAACAAAGTTCTCTTTCCTTTTTCAATCTATTATTGGTCTTTAAAAATAGGACCTGTTGTTTATATAAACCCTTTCTTCCAAGGCACTGAAAAAGACCCATGTATTCTATTATCTTTGAGCTAGAGAGATGGCTCTGCATGAAATCAGCATACATCTAACTGTGGTCCTCCAATGGCTAAGATGTTTGCAGGAATCAGATCCAGATCTCCTAATCTCACTGTTCTCGGACAGCCCACACCCACGATTGTGTCCTGCTCATCTGAGAGTCTCCCCAGTGAAGTGGTACCACTTGACAGCGTCTCTTTGCTTTTTACACCTGCACTGCGGTCCTGTGGAATGCTAATGGGGAGAATTTACTACTCTAATTTAAAAAATAAAGAAACATATAGAAAGAAAATGCCGTTTTCTAAGATACTGGAAGACAGAGTGAGTGATTAGAAATTAAATTGGTATGACAATCAAGTCTCCCAAATCTTGATTTTTTTTTTCCACCAAGCTCTGATCTATTTGGACACATGTGAGTGTGTCAGCATAGTTGTGTCTGAGTGAGAGAGAGTATATAGATATGTGCCTCTGTCTGTGGTCTGGAGGTGTAGATGTGTTTCTCTGTGGACAAGCAATAAAAGGGGAGAAAAGGCCAAGGACAGAAGAGAGGAGCTGGGATGAGGGATGTAGCTGAACCAGCATCTAACAGAGAAAGGGCTTTGACCAAGAATGCTCTAGGACTCAGGTTCTGTAACTGTTAACAAAATCATCAAATGATTGTAAATATCCAATTAGATGTATTTGAAAGTCTCTGATGTTTTTGTCTAATTTTAGCGATTATCATCATTAGAACTGTTAGTAGCACAACATATGAAAGAAAAAGCCACCCTCATGGGCAGGGAGACTCACATTCTCTGAAGGCCTTGGCATAGCTCTTACCATATGTCCAGCTCAGAGGAATACTCGGTGGCACCCAGCAGAGCATCTGGAGGTCGGTACCAAAGAGTCACCACTTCGGAAGAGTATGTCTGGCTGGGAATGGACTTGGCGCGAGCAAGACCTGCTCCGAGGGAAAAGCACAGACCCCCAGAGGGCTCAGTGTGTCTGGGGAAATACAGTTGCCAGGGACAGGATAACTGGCAGGTTAATGCCATGTAAAAAGTAATACACACAGAACGACTTGGCTAGCTTGACTATTGTGTGCTACTGAGTCATGGAGACATCTCCATTTTGGCCCTGGCCTTGCTGGCAGCCAGGCGACACGAATGAAGGTGCTATGTGCTATGTGATGCCCTTCGTGGAGAGGTTAGCCAGTCTGCTTCCTTCTCTCCTCAGTCCAGATTGTGGGAGGAATGGCCCAGGGCGATGGCACCGGTGGTGGGAGGAATCTGTGCCAAGACATCGCTAGCCCATGCCACACGCTCTGGCTTGCTAGGTCAGTGTTGTTACTACGCATGACAAAGTGAAGCTGCTAGCCTGTTACCCCCTGTCACTCTGGGTCTGTGTGACATTAACTAGACGCAGCTCCTGACTGACAAAACAATGCTGCTTTCTTGCAGTTTAGGAACTCCTAGTAAAGGACAGGATGCTGTTCCACATCAGTTTGGGAGAGGCCAAGGTGAATTTCTCTTGGGTGCTTCTCAACAAACTCAGAGTACTTTGGTCAGGAAGCTGCACATCTCCCCGAGCCACATGATCTATGACTAGGGAAATCTTTGCAGACAAGGACAAGTGACCCATGTGCATTAACTGTTTTTGCACTGTAACTTTTTTTAAAAAAGAATTACTTACTTTTATTGTAAAGTCAGATATATAGAGGAGGAGAGACAGAGAGGAAAATCTTCCATCCATTGATTCACTCCCCAGGTGGCCGCAATGGCTGGAGCTGAGCTGATCCCAAGCCAGGAGCCAGAAACCTCATCTAGGTCTCCCAAATGGGTGCAGGGTCCCAAGGCTTTGGACCAACCTTGACTGCTTTCCCAGGCCACAGGCAGGGAGCTGGATGGGAAGTGGGGCTGCTGGGATTAGAACTGGCACCCATATGGGATCCCAACGCATTCAGGGTGAGGACTTAAGCTAGGCTACCATGCCAGGCCTATGTGTTTACTGTTGACATGCTAGAATGAAGGCTACTGTCTCAGAATAAAGTACTCCAGCTGTGACACTGCCATTGGATGTCTGCCAAACTTAGCATGGTGCTTCCTCAGCCCACATGGAATCAATGTGGCAACAGATATGAGCACCTATTATGGTGCCAGACATCGGGGATGCCAAGTTAAAGGAAAGCAGACCCAGGTTGCCTTCACAGTGCTCACAGTTTAGTGGAGACAAAGTCATCACACACACACACAGAAACGCACATAGGTACTTTGATAAGTTCATGAAGAATGGAATGAAAAAATAAGCTTATTTTGGCACACCCCAAAAATGTGAAGGTGACTGTTTGGCTGAAGAGTTAAGTTGCCGTTTGGGATGCCTGAATCCCCCATCAAAATGTCTGTTTTGAGTTCTGCCTAAACTACTTCCAATCCAGCTTCCTATTTTTGGAGTGGGGGAGGGAATTAATTGTTTTTACTGGAAAAGCAGATTTCAGAGGAGAGAGAGAGAAAGATCTTCCATCTGCTGGTTCACTCCCTAAATGGCCGCAACAACCAGAGCTGAGCTGATCTGAAAGCAGGAGCCAGGAGCTTCTTCCAGGTCTCCCAAGCAGGCCCCAAGGCTTTGTTTTATTTTCAGCTGCTTTCTCAGGCACAACAAGGAACTGGATAGGAAATGAAGCAGCCAGGACATGAACCAATGCCCATATATGTTGCTGGCACTTATAAGGTGCAGGACTAGCAAACTAAGCCATTGTGCTGGGCCCCAGCTTCCTCTTAATGCACAGCCTTGCAAACAGCAAGTGATGGATCAATACTTGGGTTCCTGCCACCCATGTGGGAGGCCTGGATGGAGTCCTGGGGTCCTACCTTCAGCCTGATCCAGCCCCGTGGCTGTTGCACGAATTTGAGGAATTTAGGGAATGAAAGAGTAGATGGGGACTCTTTCTCTTGCTTTCTCTCTCTCTCTCCCTCCCTCTGCATTTCAAATGAAATGAAAATAAGTAAAAATGAAAAGCATTTGTAATCTGTATATAGTTTTTTAAATAATATGTACTTCTCAAAAAGCTCCTGAAGACTCCTTATATTCATTGATTTCAAAATATTTTTGCACCAAAATAAATCTCTTTTATTTCATTCCATTTTCCAAGAGCTTTTTTTTTTTTGCAGAACAGATATCTATGTATGTATGAATAAGAATACATTTGCGTGCATTTACACGTATCCACATATGAGTTTGAGATTATAATTATAAACTAGTAAGTGCTGGGCCTGACCCAGTGGCCTAGTGGCTAGAGTCCTCGCTTTGAACGCGCCAGGATCCCATATGGGCACCGGTTCCCGGCAGCCCTGCTTCCCATCCAGCTTCCTGCTTGTGGCCTGGGAAAGCAGTTGAAAACGACGCAAACCCTTGGGACCCTGAACCCACATGGGAGACCTGGAAGTCATTTTTGGCTCCTGGCTTTGGATTGGCACAGCCTCGGCTGTTGTGGTCACTTGGGGAGTGAATCATTGGATGGAAGATCTTTCTCTCTGTCTCTCCTCCTCTCTGTATATCTGACTTTGCAATAAAAATAAAATAAATCGGGCCCGGCGCAATGGCACAGTGGTTAAGGTCCTTGCCTTGCACGCCCGGGATCCCATATGGGTGCCGGTTCTAATCCCTGCAGCCCCGCTTCCCATCCAGCTCCCTGCCTGTGGCCTGGGAAAGCAGTGGAGGACAGCCCAAAGCTTTGGGACCCTGCACCCATGTGGGAGACCCGGAAGAGGCTCCTGGCTTGGGATCAGCTCAGCTCCAGCCATTGCGGCCGCCTGGGGAGTGAATCATCTGATGGACGATCTTCCTCTCTGTCTCTGCTCTTTGTATATCCGTCTTTCCAATAAAAATAAAATAAATTAAAAAAAAAACTAGTAAGTGCTAAAATGGAAAGACACAATGATGCTGAGAGGGAAGTGCTTTAATGGGGATAGAAGCTTCAGGTTCCCACACAGTCATGTTTGCATACAGATTTGCAAGCACATGGGAACAGGTGTCCTGGAGTTGCCTTTCCTGCAGGAGTCCACACTATCATCTGGAGTTAGCCTCTTTATCTTGCTACTCTGGGATAACCTTGATGTATTCTGATAGAATGTGTGTATCCACTCAGATTTAGGAAAGCTACCAAGCACAAGTAACTCTAGAAATGTCTCTGTATTGGCAATGGCAAGAGGGCAGCAAGGGTGTACTGGTTTGGGACATCTGTGTAGGCTGAGCCCTGGTGGAATTCCTAGAAGCACCTACCCTGCCTTGCTTCTTGCTTTCTGTTTCCTGTATGGTAGTCCAATACCCACACGAAGTTTCATGTTCCCAGGCCCGCCAGTGTTCAAAGGCCAGACCCAGCCAAGGCTTTAAACAAGAGCACACAAAAGCATCATTGTTTCCAGCCCAGAAGGAGACCAAGGGGCGACTTACCAAAATCAGCTAGTTTGAGCTCTCCCAGGTGACTGATGAGCAAGTTCTGAGGTTTCAGGTCTCTGTGCAGAACGTGTTGCTGGTGGATATATGCCAGGCCCCGCAGAAGCTGAAACATGAAAAGCTGGAAGGAATGAACACCATACCTAAGGAGATTTGAGCCACTATGTGTCGATTTCTCTCTAAATCAAAAACAGTCATTTGAAACACTATAGTGAAAGTATCTCCTGAGAAACACACACACACACACACACACTCACACACACACATGCATTTTTTACATTCAGAGGGGGAGAAAAGAGACAAGAAAAAAATCAAGCAACTTGGCTATGTCTTAAACAAAGACAGTCTGGCTTTTCCTGCTATCTCATTTCTTTGATACTGAAGGAATTACCCTTCCTTAAAAAAATCTGAAGTGTAACTTTGAAGTCCTCTTTGGAACACTAGCTATTGATTTAGAAGTGAAAGATTTAATTCCACCTCCCCCCCACACACACTGATGGACTTGGCGTGTAAGATCAAAGTTGACCTGGAAATGAGATTCTAAAGTTTACAACTGTTTAAGTTTTCCAGGCTCTGATATGAAGCCCTTTTAAATACACAACACAAGGAGACCAGGCTGGGAAATACATCCTTAGGTGGTTTTGGGAAATAAAGGAATCATTATCTTGGTAAACCTGTTTTTAAAGTCTTAAATTCAAAGTTGAAAACAAGAGAAATATACATACAGATTCCAAGGAAAGAGAGCCCAAAAGAGATGAGGAGCCTCTCTTCCTCCAAAAAGAAAAAAAAGAAAAAAAAAATCAAAGGAGAATAAGGGATCAACAGAAGGGAAAGGAGTAGAGCAAGAAAGGCGGTGGTTGGGAAGGGGACACAGGAAGGCTGCATTCTAGAAAATGTTTCATGTGGTTGTGAAGCTCTGAAGCTGAAGGCGTGACCAGGTCCCTACCAATACAGAAGCTTGAGAGAAAACAGGAAGCCCCGTGTTCTCAGGATCTCCTGCTAGTTTTCGGTGCCACTGGCAAATGAGAATTCAGACGCCACATTAGTGTTTACAGAGACCTGTGCCAACAAAGAACATGTTCTGGCGGTTCTGAAAAGAGGGAGCCAGGCCTAGGCATCCGGAGGACTCAGGCACGATGGGCAGAGGCAGGGCTGTGTGGATAAATCCACTTGTTTTCCATGGCCTCTTGGAGACAAGCGCCTCAGAGATGCTGCAGCAGATACTGACTGAACAAAGACCTGGAGACACTGGGGCGAAGTTAATGAGCGGCAGGGGCCAAGCAGCCAAGGAGTTTGCTTTGCACAGCACACCTGTGGCTGTGTGGGTTCCACGTGGCTCCCACCTCCGGTTCAAAGGCTGCTTTTGGATCTAGAAATGTCTGTGTGTCCTGCTGCAGTTGCTCATTGGTTCCACGACACTTCCTAGCTCTTTCTCTTCCTGGTGCTTCAAATACCACACACTGTTCATTTGATCAGTCCTCAAACCGCTAAGCTACTAAAGCACAAAATGCCGTTATGACCTTTAAATCTTCCAATTAGCTAGAAATATAAATGTTCATGGAAAAGGCACTGGAGAGCCAGCTAAACTGTAGGTAAAAAAATAAAAGATGCTATACTATATGCCTAAATGTGTTTTTCAATGCAAAACGATATAGGCATGGCGGCAGCGACCAAGGAGAGCCAGGTCCCCAGCTAACCCTGCAGGCCCATCTGCACTGTAGTGCTGGCTGAACCACCCGGGCTCAAACCTTCCCTGCTTTCTGTATCATGGGGAAACTAAAGTTTTTGAAGTTTTGCTGGGAACCAGCAGTGGCTAAAAATAACCAACATGGCTACTGGCTGCCTTCCTACCACGATCTTTAGTTATAAGAATGCTATAATAACATTGCCATGGCCGACACTCTGCTCCCATCATGCACCTGATGTCATGACACTTCAGAGATTTAAAAAAAACAGAGAGAGAGAGAGAGAGAGAGAGAGAGAAACATGAGGAAATGGGAGGCCTTCAAGCTCTACCTCAAAATCCCTGCCCTGTGAATATTCTGTAAATCCTGCCTCAGACACCACCCCGTATGAACTCTTTCTTATAGACAGATACCTCTGGACCTCACTGAAGCATCCCTACCCCACTTGAGTGTGTCCTTGGACTTTATGCAAGTAAGGCTTGCTTCTCTGCTGACCTCTGCCTACATCTCGGCTTGGAATTCCTCTTCCTATTAGAGACAAGAACACAGACTTGGACAGCCCAAGAGTCAAAGAGACTAAGGAAAGAGGCCCATGAGGACAGATGAGGGATGGCAGAGAGGAAGCTGGTGGCAAGCAAGGACTAAACAGTCATTGCAGAAGACATGCTTGTCCTTAGGTTATAGATGACAAAACAGTGCCGGGGCCAGTGTTGTGGTGCTATGGGTTAAGTCACTGCTGGCAATGTCGGCATCCCATATCAAACCCTGGTTCAAGTGTCAGCCACCCTGCTTCTAATGCAGCTTCTTGCCAAGGCACCTGGGGAATGCTTGGGCATCTGCCATATCACATGGCAGAAACTCCTGGATGGAGTTTCTGGATCCCGGCTTCTGCCTGGCTCAGCCTTGTCTGTTGCAGGCTTTTAGGGAGAGAACCAGTGGATGGAAGATCTCTCTGTGTTTCTCCATCTCTCTCACTCTGCCTTTCAAATAAAATAAATCTTTAAAAGAAACAAAAAAAGGCCTAGAAAGAGTCATGGCTAAGACTCAAATTCAGACCTGCATGATTTCTTCGACAACATCCTGAGACAATGGAGAAAACTGGAAAATGAAGACACTCTGAGAGGGAAAGTGGACTGGCTGAGTCAGATAGGAGTTTTTTAACCGATCAGTCTGAAATGCCTTTCCTGTTGTCGGTTCTCACTAATGAATCCCGACTACCTCCTGGCCTGTGCTCAGTGGCTCAGTGGCTTGCATTCTGCCCAGTTTGGAACTGGCGCATCACCAGTTGGGCCTTGGGGTGTGGTGCTTCATGGCGGCAACTCGCACAATTGCTTTGCAGGCTGCATAAACTCCCTGCCTAGGCATGCTTCCTTCCCTCGTCCCCTGAATTCTTCCCTCAGCATGCCAGAAGCTTCCCCTGTTACCGTGTCATGACATGGCCCGATCTGCTGATGTTTTCCCAGTCAGCCTCCAGCCCCACCGTGGGTGACCCTTTCCAGAGAGATTTGTCGTACGCTAGGGCTTAGACCTGCTTCCCCACTTGATAAAGTTTTCAGTCACCAGATAATTCCACTAGGCCAATGCCATCTGGGCTAGGAAGGCCTGGAAGACACAATAAGGTCAGCCAGCCAACTTATGGAAACCCCAGTCTTTCAGCCCACCAGAAGTCTCTGGGACAGTACTACTGAAAGCAGGCTGCACTCGCTGGGATTCCCAGCCTGGCATCCGGATCTCTACTCTAAACACAGGCCTCTCACACTTCCCCCTCTGCCTCCATAAGCCCATCCCCTTCCGACTCTGGGCTTCCTGTCATTTAATTCAATACCTCTTGCTCTAGTCTCCCAAACTTCGGTATCCTTCACTCTGCACTTCCCAGTCCTTGCTTTAAATACTCCAAGAATTCCCTGCAGAGTCCCTTCCTTCAATGAAACCTTTAAAACCATTACTTCTCTCTCCTTATGGAAGAACCCCAGTCCCCGGGCTACTATGTTATCTGGCCACATCTTCTTTGGCAACTCTTTTCACGTTCATCTACTGAGTTCCTCACTGATCTCCACCATTCACTGAAGACATGCCCCTCCTCCCCTCCTCCTGTCGTTCCCACATCTAGCCAATGTCTACAACCCTTCTGTTTAATCAGCACCTCTGGTTTCCGGATCTTCCACTCTTTCTTTTGCTCTCAGCAAACTATTTGTCTTTACCTTCTTCCCCCACTTTAGACTCAGTCTGGAAGCCACTGATCATTTCTCTCTCTCTCTCTCTCTCTCTCCAGTCTCTTCAACTCTCTTGCCCAAATGTCTCTTCCTCTCACATGTCTGGCAAAACCCCAATTCTAAATCAAGCCAAATGTACTTTCTCTGCTCCTCTATTCAATTGCCTTTAAAACAATTGTGATCAGCTAACTTAATGGTGTGCTTCCTCCCCAGGCCCTTTATCAGACTGCTAGATATTCCTGCTTGGCTGCCCTGCTTGGCTTCTCTGTCCCATTCTCTGCCAGCTATTTAAGATGTTTTTCACTTTCTACCTCTTGTTTTCAAGTCTCCTTTTTAAACTCCTTTCCTGTATTCCCATATTTAACTCCCTATCCTATATTAGATCCTGTATTCCATAATTTTCGTAGCTAACCTGGCCTTAGCACTGTGCTTCTCACTGCCTAGAGAAGACCATATATCTTATTGGACTTCAAGTTCATTGAAAATAAGAAACACAACTTACTCATTATTGAAACTCCAGAAATTAATATAGCACTAAGCACTCCATAAATAATTCTTGAATGAGTACATAAATATTATTTATTATTCAAAGAATAAATACATCATCTACAAGTGTCATATGGTTATTTTTAAGAGCCAATCAATTAATTAATGCCAACAAAAGCTTAGGGAATGAAAAATATGAAATATAAGTGGTTTCTAAAATTTGTAACAGATGTAGAAGTATGGCTAAATAAGGGTACATTATTTTTATTCTTACTTTAATGACTGAAAAAGGGAAAATGGGCCCATGTGCATAATAGGCTCTATTGACCAGGCAATGCAAACTTTATCATAGAGCAATGGTCTGCTATGAAGAAGCTGTTTATTATATGATGGCCTGACTTCATTTACTTCCTCTTAACATGATTTTCTTTTTATGGTTTATACTTCTAAAGACACATTTGCATGATTCAATGACTAGCAAGCTTAGGCTGTGCAGAAAACAGCTAGACATTGCTCTGTAGCTTGAGGGCCCACACTTTGGCTCTGTTCTGGGCTGTGTATGGCATCTGTCTGCATGGGGACTTTACTCTGGAATAGCAGTCAGTTCCAAAATCCCCTGTTGCAGATGAGCTGGACGACCGTCCTGACCCTGAAATACTCACCCTGACATTGTGAGGATGAAGCCCTCCTGGGTGCTGACACATGTACTGGGCCAGGTCTGTGTGCTGAGCCATGGAGGGTAGAAGGAGAAGAGAGAACAGAGTTAGTGATGTTTGGAGGGTGTCCTTACGTGAACCACAGACTTGACTTAGGAAACTATGATGATGTTCAGAATTTCTGAAAATAAGGTGCAAAAGAAACACAACCAGGTTTTTCTGAGTCTCCACTTTGTGAAAGCCAAACAATGTGTCTTTCTAACTGGTTGCTCTTAGAAGGAAGCCTGTTTGTCAGCAGAGATGTTCATTTTAAACAACTGGCATTGAACATGACACAAGAATTTTTGCTCACCCAATGACCTTGGAGTACAGTCAAGTACACATGCCTTATGGATCTTTTTTCTTTTTTCTGCTTATTCGAATATATCTTTTTCCTTTTAACAATGCAAAATGAATAATTCTTTAGTAGGCAGGTATGCAGTCTTAAATTATGTTGTGGCACATCTTTATTGTCAATGAAAATGTTGGATTCTGCTCAGACAGTGATGAAAATAGATTTCAAAAAGATGTGGAAAAGTTTTATTGGGAGGGAAAACTCTAAATCCCTACTGACCATTGTTGATGAGGGGAAGGTGGGCAGCAAAATCACTGAATACAGCAGCAGAAGAGCTCCAATAATCACAATCATAAAAACTTCCCTGATACCTCCCACACCATAATGAAAGTTTTATCAAGCCATGAAATATTAACAGGTTCATTATGCAAGCACTAGACTTTTCTTCATGCACACTAAGATTCTGGAGCGACTCACCATGTACTCAAAAACAAATGTCAGGCTCTCTTTGGTGTGAATGATGTCATGCAGAAGCACAATATTGGCATGTTTCAAACCCTTCAAGAGAGAAGCTAGAAAAATTAAACAAAATGGTATATGAAGCATTGATAAGGAAAGTACAGTTTCATTTCAAATTAGGTGTTCTGGTAGATTTATTTTGTTTTGTTTTGGTTTGGTTTGGATTTTTTTTTTACTGCTGGGGGGGAAAAAAAAGTCTCTTACTATGAAAGAATTATTTAGAATTTCCAAGGACTTCAGGATTTCAAAAATGGGAGGTCACTCTGTTTACACAAACTGACCAGGCTTACAGGCAGGTGCAAAAACTACTGCTGTGTTTCCATTTACAAAACTTTGTGAGGCACAGGGAGCACTCTGTGAATGTTCCTCCCACTCCCACCCCAGGGGATCTCTTCCTCCTGGACTTAGAGGAGGCCTGGAGAGATAACAGCCATTGGAAGAGGAAAAGGGGTGTTCTGTTTTCTGGACCAGGACTCTACAAATATCAATGTCCCACAAGAGCTCAGCTGGGCTGGCTGATGGGCATGATGGGTGGGAGGCAGAGATAACAGCTTGGGGTGAAGAACTGTTGAAACGCAGCAGAGAATGCAGAGGATTTCTTGCAGCAAATGTTGCAAATCTTTGTGGGAAGAAGAAAAAGCAAATTTAAAAGGAAAGCCCCTCTCCCTCGCCACCTCCTTGACTTGGGAGCCCAGGGGATCGGGTGTGTGTGTGTGTGCTAAGGTGTCTTCAACAGCAGGTTATTAATATGTGACTAAAGGGAGTCCTAATGGAGGAAAGTCATCACAAAAGACTGGAAGTGGCTGGCAATGGTTATCAAGCTGACTGGATGTTACAGAGAGAGGAAGACTCCTGGCTTGAGTAGCATGGTGGCTACAAAAGGCCCAGGAGATAGAGGGCAAATCTCAGCTAGGTAGGTAGCCCTGCCTGGAGAGACAGTATCTTTAAGACTCCAAGGAAAGGAAAAGTTAAGCATAAAAACTCAGATCAGTCATCTGCAAGGTCTGTCTAATTGTTGTGAATTTCCTGTACCCATTACCAGTAGAACAATTCATAAGATTAAAAACAAACTCAAATGCTAGGTTAAGTCTGGAGACAAAGTTCATTTTTTTTTCAGATTAATTTATTTTTATTGCAAAGTCTGACATAAAGAGAGGAGGAGAGACAGAGAGAAAGATCTTTCATGCGCTGATTCACTCCCCAAGTGTCTGCAATGACTGGAGCGAAGCCAGGAGCCAGGAACTTCTTCCAGGTCTCCCACATGGGTACAGGGTCCCAAGGCTTTGGGCATCCTTGGCTGCTTTCCCAGGCCACAGGCAAGGAGCTAGTTGGGAAGTGGAGCTGCCGGGATTAGAACTGGCACCCATGTGGGATCCTGGACTGTTCAAGGCAAAGTTTTTAGCCGCTAGGCCACCACACCAGGCCCAGGTTTGTCCTCTTAACAGCCAACCTCCCATCTAATGGGGGCACCGCTCCTTATCTGCTCCATGCTGTTCTGGGGCTGGGGTTTCGGGGGAGAAGACTGACTCTGCCTCTATCCAAGAGGAGGCATGAGACTCAAGACTGCCCAATCAGATCACAGCATCTCCCTCGCCATGGTGATGGGTTCAGAGATAGCTATAAACTTCACCTGGCAGGTGTGCTTAGGAACAGGTACTTTCTTTTTACTGTGAGGGCTGTACTTGTGGGATTTGAGGCAGAAGTTGCTGCAGGCAGATGACCGATGGATTGTGACAGTGTGTCTAGGAATCAGACTAGGATGGAGACACTAGTTAGAGGGATGGAGAAACTTGATTTCTGGTGATGCTACTGTGGTCTCTAGTCACCAGCCCTGTGAGCTGGTGACTTTCTTTATTGAGTTTATTGTGCTTTTAGAAGTACATTGCTTTGTAAATGTAAATACATACACACAAAAAAACAAAAATCCACAACAGTTTCACAGACATCTGCTTGACCTTCCCAGTTGAAGGTCAATTGGGAATGGAGGGAGTAATTTGGTCTTGTGGAGTCTGCCACAACACCTAGTGTGATGCTCAGTCAGCAATTAGCACACAATTTGCCATAGGTATTTATTGCATGTTTCCAAGAAGAACTAGTTGAGGAGCCAGAAGCCCTAGTATGAATCCTACTTCTATCATTTTCTGAATAAGCTCTAGAGAGTATCACAATTCAAGTCCCCACCAGTTTTTTTAAGAGAGTGCAAAGGCTTAAAATGAGGATAGAATGGGTCTACTCATAGAAGTCTCGGTTAACGTAAAGCATGACACAGATGCAAGTTAATGCTGACAGATTCTTGCTTCTCTCTTTCACTTTGGACTTCATGAAACCCCTACTCTCATCCAGTCTTCAAATCTTCCTTGTGGTATGTTTTTGCAAGAGTACTCATTATTTATAACAATGACCTCTGTCTGTCACTTGCAAATGCTTATATACTGTATGTATTTTCATTTGCAGATTATTTCCTGAATTTTCTCTCTCTCTCTATATATATATACACTACAAGATATACACTAAAATTAGATTGGAAAGAATACAGCAAAGCTGAAGTTGGTAAGAATCAGGATATTTTGGTTTTACTAGATGAAGCTATCTCCTTTCCAGCCAGAGGCCGCCAAGAACTCATTGACATGAATGATGAAGGTAATATTTGTACGAGAAGCATATGACCACACAAGTTGCTGCTGACACTCTGGGTGAAGAGTGGAAGAACTGCATGATTCATATCAGTGGTGGAAATGACAAACAGGGCTTTCCCACAAACAGGGCTTTATGAATCTTGACCCATGGCTGGGCTCACCTGCTGCTGAGCAAGGGGCATTCCTGTTACAGAGCAAGAACTGGAGCCTGCATTGTCAATGCTAACTTGAGTTATTGTAAAAAAGGGAAAGCTATTCCTGTTTTGACTGATACCCTGGGGCCTGCTCACCTGGGTCCTGAAAGAGCTACCAGAATCTGCAAACGTTTCAATCTCTCTAAAGAAGATGATATTTGGGAGGGGTGGGGGGAATCCCCAGTGCCTATAAAACTGTACTACATAATACAATGTAAGCAACAATAAAAAAAAAAAAGAAGATGATATTTGCCAGTATGTCGCAAAAAAGCCCTTTAACAAAGAGGGTAAGAAGCCTAGGACCGAAGCACCTCAACAATGCCAGCACACTGCTTGGAAGGGACAGCCTGCTAAACAAGAAAAGCAAGAGTTTGCAGAGTATGTTAACTTTTGGCCAAGCAAATGAAGGAGGTCAAAGAAAAATACCAGGAACAGATTGCCAAGAGATGTAGGCTGTCTCCCCTGAGAGTGTCTACTTCTAATCAGAGTCCAGTCAAAAATAAGATTTAAGAATAACAAATAAATAAGGTTGGATATCAAGAAAGGGGTAGTATGGTAAAGCCAAAGTTGCTAAAACTCAGGCTATTTTAGTTCAATTTTTATTGTCACTTTGGAATTGCTTAAATATATGACTAGAACTGCCAAGACTTTCCTTAGCCATTGTCATTGCCTCAAGCGATCACTTCCTTGAAAGTTCAAAGAGTAGCAGGTACTGGGAAGAGATTGCTGCTCATAGCAACAGTGAGTTTAAGTCCTTATTTCCTGAAATGTTCTTGATAACTTTACTCTTGTAGGAGTAGGGAAAACGTGTATTCTGCTATTTCTCTGACATTCTTTGACATATTTGTACCACTTATCTTCAGTGCAGAATCCGTCCCTGCTAGGAAGGCTCACCATTGTAGTAAATGGGGACTCATCTCAACTCCTTCTTTTATGTCCTCACCCAGTCCATCAGCAAATCCACCCGCAGTGTCTTCAAAACATGTCCAGAAGCCTTCACTTTCTGTCATATCCTCTGCTGCTGCCTGAAGCGGAGTCCCCCGCGTGTCTTGGATGATTTATCACAGATGCTGCCTAACCAGTCTCTGCGTTTCCTACCTTCTCCCCTGCAGGGTCTCCTCCCCAGAGAAGGTCAGATCATTGATCCTTCAGGTTCCAAATTCCCCAGGGGCCTCACATTCCATTCAGATAAAACCAAAATGGCTTGCCATGTGCCCACTTCCATGCCATGTGTTCCTGCCTGTCAATGCCCCCTCCTTTTTGTTGTTCCTGTCATCTCCCTGCTCACCTGGCTGTAACCACATTGGTCTGCTAGAAGTTCTTTGGACACTTCTAAACACAGTTCTGTCCCCCAGTTCTGTCCTTCAGTTCTTGGTCAGCTTCCTCCCTCACTTCCTATGACTCTCTACTCAAAGGATACAGAGGAGGGCATTAAAAGGTAAATTCTCTTTGTCGCAAACATCTTTTGAAATCTATACTTTTTTTCATAATATGTATTTCCATGAATTTGTTTTGAAGAGCCCATACATGCGTGGATTTCAAAACATTTTGCAATCAAAGATAAACATCTTTTAATTCCATTTTGTGGCCTTTTTGAGGTACGCTCATATGAAATATTGGTTTCGTTGATTGCTGTTGATAGTAGCCCTCACCCTATCCCTGCACCTGATAAACACACATATTACATATACTATATTGTATACATATTACTTGTCTTGAGAAGTCAAAAAATGTTTGCAACAAAGAGATACTTTCACCTCTTTCTTTGCTTATTTCAGTGTTTTCAATACCTAGTACTCAATAGATACTTACTACTGAATAGCTGCCCACGGGCTGCTTAATATTATTTATATATCTATCATTGGTTGCTCACACTGAAGGTGCTTATATTCCTTTATTTTTTAAATTTCAGTTGTCTCCCCCGTAAGACTGAATGCTGTGTGTTTTATAGCTGTGTCTACCATTGCTTTACAAATGCTCCTACCCTGCTGGAGTGTTTGTTATACACATGCTGCATCTTGTTGAGTAATGGATAGGGAATTCAGAGGTTTGGAGTGTTGATCTCATGGGATTGTTGGCATGCTGTCTACAGCAATCTAAGATGTCTATTGTCTCAGATGCGTGGATCTTAATCTAAGAAGGAAAGATCTTTCTCTCTTTTAATTGCAAAAACTCTGGTAAATTTCCTAGCAGAATGTGGTGTTTATTCTGCAGACTTACCAG